CCCCCCCCCCCCCCCCCGGTGCCTCTCTTGTCGTCGTTGTCGTCGGTGTCCCTCTTCCCTTTCGTCAGGAACAACCAAGGAGTCACCGAGAGTCTTGTGAGGGTTTCTTGCAACGACTGGGACATTGCCAGGACGCTGCGTGTTGCAAGAAGCTGCTGCTGCTGCTGCTGTGCCACCTGAGGAGCCCTTGTTTCAGCGCCCGCACGAAGGAGTAGGACAGACCCAGAGCGAGAGAGAGCGAAGGGGGGGGAGGGTGCTCTTTGGGGTGGGACGGCGGCAGCAGCAACGGGCCGGGCCAGCTAGTTAAATAGCCATCATCATGGCTCGGGAAGCGCAAAAGATTATCACCCTCGAGGACGGGTGGTTCAACAATATTAAGCCCAATGCCATCAACGTGCTGGAGGACCACCTAAACAGAGTGAGTAAAGATCCTTTGTCAAGAAGGGCTGGAAAAGGTCATACAGTCCACAAGCGAAACCTTATTTTTTTGCGCGGATTGACGTTTGAGCACACCCAAGGCGGACGCAAGTAACGGGGCTCGGCTGAACCGCTCTGTGTGGTTATTTTTGGAACAATGAGAGAGAGATGAGATATGGCAGGGTAAGCGGTATTGGACAGCCACCGTGTCGCAGGGCGTGACGAAATACGCCTCTTTTTTTTTTTGCTCTCGAGGCACTGCTGTTGTTAGTGGTTGGGACGTGGTGACGACGCCGGTCGGGGTGCGATAGCCAGCCCCGGCGCGTTCGCGCCCTGTTGTTATCCAGTAGAAAACCTTGCACACACCTGTATGAATGCGAACGTTCGGAGAAGGGGTGTTGGCTTTAGGTTCTTGATCCTCACGGGGAATTCTGCGTTTTCTGTGCACATGGACGGACTCTTGTCCCTCGGTAGTCCTACGTGTAGAGCATCCAACACCGCCCGGGAAGCTTGTCGTTGTGCGCTGCACATCTCTCTGTCGCCCGACAAACACAAGTCGATCGTCGGGGTTTTCACCTGGGAGGCACGCTTGTCAACTCTTTCCTGTGGCCTCTGCCGTCGCCACCATCTATCACCACCCTGTTTTCTCTGTCGTTTCACGACGGGTTGGCGACGAAAAGCGTTTTTCGTAAAACAACAAAACAATGAAAAGACGCTCCAGTGTGAGCTTCCTCTTGTTTGACCCTGGCTGATGCGTCAGGTATTTACTCCGAAAGGCTTGTAACCCGGCGCCAGAACAGGTGGGGACGAACACACACACACACACACACACACACACACACACACACATACACACACTGACGCTCGTTGTGCTTGACTAGTGTGTGTTGGCGGGCGTGATCGTAGATGAGATATGCTGCGGGTCGCCAATTTTCGTGTTTTCTTTTTTTTTTTTTTTTTTTTTTTTT